CCCAAAAAAAAAAGTGACTATGTGAGTTTCTTGGCAAGAATGCAAGAAAACTAGGAGGGGAGAGTGTGTGGTGAGAGGTTAATTCTTCAGTTGTCCTGATTTTCACGATCAGGAACAGGCTGCTAACTTGACACTAAAATGAAATCCCGTTACTGTTGAAAGTGATTTGTCTGAAGAGCTCTGTAGTACGGTTAGGGTTATTTATATGGTACGTACTTGGTGATAGATGGGAACAGGAGGAGATTACTTCAATTTATTTGAAGACTTTTCTGTAGTCTGTGATTTCTAAGTTTCTGGTGATCAAAACCAAGTGTTAACTGCATTATCCAAAGCCCAGTTTCTAAAGTTAGAAAGATTATTGCTAATGCATTTTCTGTTTTTAAGCTAAGGCTTACTTTCCCTGCAGGACACCAAGGTTTAAGTGTTTGTTCCAATATGTTATTTTCTACCTTGGTTTGATTGGTGAATCTCTCTAGATGTTTGTGTGGAGGTGAGACCCTTCTGAAATCTATGTACTTAGCTGCATAGGGTGGACAAGCTTGCTTTTCCTGGGAACCTTGAAGGCTCACAAATCAGAGGCTGAAGAAGTCCATAAATTATTTTGTCTTGTAAGCTGTATGTCATGTCACATAACATAAAGGGCTCATCGGAGGGACAGTGTAAAATTCAGACACGTGTATTATCCAGTATATTTTTGGAAGGGGGTTTATTCACTTTTTTAATAATCATTAATTTCCTTATCTCACAGATGGTGAAATGAATTCATATTAACCCAATTGTTAACATGTCTGATGGAAATAAAGACCACCACTGTTTTGACGATTTTAATGCGTCTGTGGAATTCATTCCTTGGAATCAGTTACATGATGTGCATAACTGCTTTGTGATGTATGAGAAATTGTTTCCATGATAATTCTTTGGTGCTTCACTTTTTTTCATCTTCAGTTACATTTCTTTGCCTTTGAATCTTTTTTGCCTGACGTTTTGGTTTTTTTCATAAGTTTTAAATAACAGCATCAGAATGTTAGCGTTTTGCAGGTGATTTTTCATGTAATACTTAACATGAGATAGGTGGGAATAGCTTTACTCCGTGCCTCTTATTTTTCATGAACAAAATGAAACTTTTATTAAGCTTATTTACAAGTTCTACCAGCAACTTTAAATATTTATTTATTTTTAAAGAAATATTCGGAGGAAACAAATGTGTGTATACGGAGTTCAGGTGCAGGATCTTTTGAAGTATGATCTTTGATCATAGAATCTTCTTCTGACATTGATTCAGGACAAGGTAATTCCAGACATCTAACATCCAAAGAACAAAGATGGTATAGGTCACACTTTAGCTCTAAAGGAATAGTTTGTTTTGTCAGATTGGCTGTTTCTTCAAATCAGCATTTACAAAATGCATGAATACCTTTCTGGTTCAGTCTGTATTATTTATATATAAAGGAGTAAATGAACATGCATAATTTTTTGCAAATTATCTTTTCATAGCTTTGTTTAACCACTGTGAAGGAGGTGACTGCATTTCCTAAATGAAACAGTAGAGGGAAGCATAACATACATAATAGAGCTTTGACATAGATAATCTTGGCTTTAAGGATGGTGCTCATGGCAGCTTGGCGGTTATGGGGTGGCACTTCTTGTGTGTTTTTTTCTTGGTGTTTTTTTCTACTTTAAAAAAAAAGATTTGCGCTCTTTCTCCCCTTTCTCCCTCTTCTTTTTTAAGAGGATATGATTTGGAAGTATCTGTCACCTAGACATCCCTATATTCTTAGCATTTATAGTTCACTGGTGAAAGAATGAAATGTTACTTAAATATGAAGTAGCACTTCTTTTAAGATGCAAATTCTCTGATTCAGAAAAAGAAAGAACAACCCTAGCATGTCATTCAGGCCAACACACACACAGACTATGCAATAAGCACAAATTTAGGTTGTGTGATTGTAGAAGAAAAGCACGCATTAGCTGTAGATTTCCAGGGACTGTCAGGTAAGTTAATCACTGCTGTTTTAAGAGAAGCATAAAATGAAGCTAACTTCAAAAATGCTGAATTGAGATTTAAAATGCATAATATGTCAGCTGTCACAGCAGGTAGACTGGAAAAATGTACAAATGGTATAAATGGGTCTATTTGGTTGGTAAAAAGAATAGCTATAATGATTAGGATGTTGGATTAAGATAAGTCACTAAGTAGGAGAAATGGGAAGAGCCTGGTGTAAGAAGAAAACTATGCTGTGGGTTAAATTTCAACTTTCCTAAAGGAGAAGAGTTCTGCAATGCCTGCAAAGATATTTCTTTGTTGTCTTGAAATCTGAAGTCAGCATATTTTTCTTCCCCTGCAGCACTCCTGAGAATCTGCAGTCCAGTAATTTGCTTGTTTATCTTTAAGCTTTGCCTTCCTTCATGCCTCCTGTTTGGAGCAAGAGAAGCTCCATTGCACCACCACAGTAGGTCTGTATCAAGAATCTAGAAGTGCTCGGATCTTTGAATCTTTGTTTTGAGAATGGTACGGGTGAAGAAGCAGATTCCCTGGGGAAGATCAGTGAGTTTGCAGATTAAGTTTCTCCTACAAGGACAGGCTGAGAGAGCTGGGGCTGTGCAGCCTATAGAAGAGAAGGCTCTGGGGGGACTTTTGAGTATCTAAAGGGGTCTGTAATAAGGAAAAGGACAGATTCTTAGCATGCTCTGTTGTGATAGGACAAGGGAAAATGGTTTCAAACTAAA